GCCACAAATGGGAGAGTCCGTGGAAGACTGGGTAACCGGTAGGGCTGGGTTCTTAATAAGACTTTGATGGAAAGAGGATTGAATTAGGGAAAGTCACAGTGTGTGTAACAAGGCAGTAGAAGAGGACTTATGGTATCTGTCACTTGCATGTTTCTTGGAGATGGATAGTGAAGCAGTGAGAGGCTTCCCTTGGTCCCATGGACCATCACACGTGTGACCTAGGATGGGGTCATCCTTGTGTTTCTCAGCACGTTTGGGATTCCCTGTGCAGAGCTCAGGAAGGTGTCCATGGTATAGCAAGGGCACTGACAGTGGCAGTGAGAACCAAAATGTGCTTGATTGATGGTTCACAGAATGACGTGGTCAAGGGAGAGGGTGTGAACTGATGGTGGTGAAGGGAGAGCGTGGGGCCCATGTTTACTTGTCCTGGGAGGCAAGACCTGGAAGGTAGGTGACACAGTGATCAAGAGGTCATAAATAGAGAGAGGACATGTCACCTCTGTCTCCTGTGAGCTTTACTTGGGAGGACTGGATGTTAAAGCAGCGAAGGATTGACTGGGTCCTGGGGAGGCAGGCTGCAGAGACACTGCTCTGTCCATCACAGCAGCACAGGGTGACCTTTGAGGATGTGACCGTGAACTTCACCTGGGAGGAATGGATGCTTTTTGGTGACTCAGAGACTCCTGTATTTGGATGTGATGCTGGAGAACGTGGCCCTGCTGGCCTCACACTGGTCCCTTACACGCATACTGGCATCCTGGGCCAGGCTCTGCTCCTTTTTCCAGGGAGATGCTGTTCCCCTAGGGACATTGCTTTCATCATCGAGGACATTTTCCACCCTCTCCCATGGAGCCTCGGAATCTGGTGCCTTCAGGCCTTCCAGGGAAGGAAATGGAGGCCAGGAATCCTACAGTTAGCCTCATGGCTTGGCTTCACCTTGTCAGAGTGACTCTTCAGAATTGCTTCACTCCTTTGGCCTTGATTTTGCCCATCCCACACCAACCATTCCAGCTGACATTTCCTCTTGCCTGATGTCAGGAATCACAGGCATCAATCAGTGGGCTGATTGTATAGGATGCTCCTTCAAGATTCTTTCTGTTATATTGGTTTTCATTTCTGATGCGTTGAATACTTTGAGTTATTGAGGTTCATTCACTTAACTGCACTGTCTTTCTTTTAGAACTTGCATCTTCCCAGATCCATGTAGCTGTCCAGCTGGAGGTGGGGAAAGATCCTGGGGTGACTGATAGGGCAGGCATTGCTCCCTTCATGGCAGTAGGGATTTGGAGGGGGCCTGGCTGTGGTACATGAGAAATGAGAGATGGTTCAGTGTCAGGGCTGGGTTCTGATGGTACCTGGGACATCTCTGGTGCCCGTGTTCTTTTTCTACCAAGGACAAGTGCCATAACTCATTTCAGACTTTTACTCCTGTTCTTGACATTTTTCTCACTTATTTTTTCCTATTTGATTTCCAAACAAGATTAACCATGCCCCTCTGGCTCTCAAGTCTTCCCTTTGTTGTACTCTCCAATGAGGAGCTACATGTAATGTGTTGTTTGAGGCGCCCATAGCCCAAGCAGTCCTTCAGTGGCTTCTCAGATGCAGCTGGTTTTCCGTGATCGGATTGCATCCTTCTGGTCAGTGCTCTGGGTCAGCAGCAGAGAAGCCCCCTGATGAAAGCAGCTGGCAGATAAGCGAGTCAGAGACTCACTGTGTCCTTTCCTGCACTGTATCCCATCACTGTGTTCTTGCTTTTCTCCAGAATTCCCAACTGTACGGGGCTGCCACACATACCCATCTCACCCTGACTTCAGCCTCCTTGTCCTCCCAGGAGTCCCAATGTATTCATTCTTGGATTTGTAGATCAAACATTTGTGATTGCCCACCTTCCCCGCCCAAATCAGCATATAATTCATGAATGTTTCTCTGCTTTCAGGTTATTGGTTTTGGATGGAGAATGAAGTGGCACCTTTTCAAGCACTGTTACAGGTCAGGGCTTCCTGAATCAGGTTCATTAACCACAATGCTCACCATTGTGGGATGTGTGGTCCAGGCATGAAAGACATTCTGCTCTTGGCTGAACATCAGGGAATGGGCACACATGTGGAGCACGTGGAAGACAATTCTGCTTCAACAGAAGCTTCCCTCGGCACCAGAAGCTGCAGCGTGGAGAACACTTCGGAAGGAGGATGGGGTTTCTTCCATTACCAACTGCAGGGGCCACATGTCAGAGGACCTATTCATGTGTGGGGACAATGGGAAGGCTCTCATGTCCAACTCAGACCTTCAGAGCCAGAGCATTGGCCTCCAGGGCACCCAGAGCACAGGGTGCAGAGAGGCCTTTCACACTGCACAGGGGTACTGTAGGTGCAGTGAGTGTGGGGGAAGACTTCAGCCTCCAGCACAGGATTCCCAACATCAGAGGAGTCACACGGGAGTGCAGCGAATGTGGTAAAGCCTTCTGACGGCAACGCAGAGAAGTTCAGCATCAGGAAATCCACACCCAGGGCAGGAATGATGAGTGCACTGACTGTGGGAAATCCTTCAGACAAAGCTATGGCCTGATTCAACATCAGAGGGTTCCTACTGGGGCGAAACCTTATAATTACATTGAATGTGGGGATTTCTTTAACTATAATATCACACTGGTTTGTCATCAGAGAATCACACTGGAGAAAGGCCTTACAAGTGCACAGAATGCGGGAAATGCTTTAGACAAAGATCTGGCTTTACTGGACACCAGAGAATTCATGCCAGGGCAGAACCTTATGTGTACCACGAATGTAGAAAATTCTTCAGCTGCAAAATCACGCTTTTTGACACCAGAGAATCCATACTGGAGAAAGGCCTTACAAGCGTACTCAACGTGGGAAATTCTTTAGTCAAAACTCTGGTCTTATTTCAAATCAGAGTTCACACTGGGGAGAAACATTATGAATGTATTGGATGTTGTAAATTGTTTTGCCACAGATCTAGGATCAATGTACATCAGAAAGTGCACACTGGTGAAAGGCCTTAGAGTTGCAGAGAATGTGGGAAAGCTTTCAGTCTTAAATTTACACTTACTCAACACTAGAGAACTCATACTGAAGAAAGAACATATGAGTGTAGGGAATACAGGAAATTTCTCTTTTAAAGATTTATTTTTATTGCAAAGTCAGATATACACAGAGGAGGAGAGACAGAGAGGAAGATCTTCCGTCTGATGATTCACTGCCTAAGTGTGACTGCAATGGCTCATTCTGCACTGATCAGAAGCCAGGAGCCAGGAACTTCATCCGGGTCTCCCATACGGGTGCAGGGACCCAAGGCTTTGGGCTGTCCTTGACTGCTTTCCCAGGCCACAGTCAGGCAGCTGGATGGGAAGCAGGGCCGTTGGGATTAGAACCGGTGCCCATATGGGATCCTGGCATGTTCAAAGCGAGGACTTTAGTTGCCAGGCCACAAGCAGGGATCTAGATGGGAAGTGGAGCAGTCAGGATATGAATGAGCACCCCAATGGGATCCTGGCACTTACAAGGGGAAGATTAGCCAATTAAGCCAATGTGTCAGGCCCTGCCTGGACCTATCTTGTGGAGTCTTTTATTTAGATTTAATTGTTTCAAAACATGTGAAAGGCAGTTACAGAGAGGGGAGACAAGAGATCTTCCATCCCACTGGTTTACTTCCTAAATGGCTATGAGGGCTGGGGCTGGGCCAGGCAGAAGCCAGGAGCTTTTTCTGGGTCTCCCCATGGGTGCAGGGGTCCAACATCTGCTGACTCCCGTGAGCATTAGCAGGGAGCTAGATCAGGCAACAGCTTTACCTGCTATGCCACAGTGCCAGCCTGGCTGTTCCACTTCCCATCCAGCTCCCTGTCTGTGCCTCCAGGAAGGCAGTTGAGGATGACCCAACGCCTTGGGTTCCTGTACCCTCGTGGGAGACGCAGAAGAGGTTCCTGGCTCCTGGCTTCAGATCAGCTCAACTCCAACCTTTGCGTTCTACTTGGGAAGTGAATCAACACATGGAGGATCTTTCTGTCTCTCCTCTCTGTAAATCTGACTTTCCCACAAAAGTAAATCTTGATAGAAATAAGTGCTGACACAAATAGTTGGCACCACAATAATATCAAATT